AACATCTTGTGTATTGTCACAATTTTGAAGTCATCGTTCTTTACCATACACTTGTGAAGCCTTAGTCCTTAGGTTATTTCGGTAGATAAGACTTATAGATTAATAGTCACCTATGCTTGTCATCTCTATAGTTACGTTAGTTAGGTTATCCAGATTTACAGATACATAGGTCAGATGGACAGGTAATCTTCAAACACTTCATAGACCTAGAGAATATGGCATTTAAATAACTTAGAATTCTGTTGATGTGAGACATAATTGCTCCTGGCTGCACCAATTTGATCCCGAGAGAATGTTGGGCTTCTAAGACATTTCCATTTGGAAATTTGTCTTCTTGGCACAAAATGGCCTACTGGGCAAAGAACTGCCCTTGCCTCGACGGCTGACAGTACTAATGCAATGCTATCCTTTCTGGACAAGTGGGACACAAGGAAAGCGACCACTGTACTCTGCCAAGACAGGGTAAGATGGTCTTTCAGAATTCCTGCTTCTGAAAATGGTCTGTCAGATACTTTAGGCCTGTAGCCAATTTGAATACACCAACAATGCTGAGAAACATTAGGTGACTGTCCAGGCTGCCAGCTGTCTCCGTCTACTCTCGCAAGTTTCCCGAAAGTTGCTTGCATCCATCTACCATTTCTCAGGTACCATTATATTCCTTCTCAGGTCTTTGATGGGATTGAAGACTAGCAGTTATAGTTACAACTTAGTAGATAGAATATATTAAGTATTAGATTCAGGTTCTTTAGGATAGGACACCTTTTGGAATGATCTTTGTAACATGCCATTTACCTATGCTCTATACTTCTCTGGATTTTAGTATGTGTTTCTTGCTTGATATTGTTTGCATTGGTTGTAGTTCCATCTTATCTAGGTCATTATCCCTCATTATTCCTGGACAATATTTGATAACCATTCCTTTGTATATAGTCTTGTATTAGGTCAGAACTTTCTTATTTAGACAAAAAGGGGGAGATGTAGTGGGTAGCCATTCCAGCTTTGATCTGGAAGTTCCAACCCCCATTGAGACTTCGGCAATGTCACGCCTACAAGGCGGGGCCAAGGGAGGCGCCTGGGGACCCGAGAGCTGGATCGGTGGGCGCTCTCTCTGTTGCGGGACCCTGGACTGGAGAGGTGGACCGAGCAGAGCTCCAGAGAACACCGCTGGACTGTGATACACCTTCCCCAGACTCCGCGACCTACCTATTCCTTAATTTGTAAGTTACGCCATTAAATAAATCTCCTTTTAACTACGTGGAGTGGCCTTAATAATTTCACCAATACATACACACACACTAAAATTTTAAATTTAAAATTTTTAAAAAAAAGCATAACCATAGCTTTCAGTAAATCTAAGACATGCTCAAGAGACCAAACCTAAAAACCTATGGGCTTCTGAGGAAGTAAAATACAAGCTAAATATAAACTGGGAATATAGCTCAAGGATCAAAGTTCTTTCCTAGCATGTGTAAATCCCAGGCTCAATCTCCAGCCCCACATAAACTAGACATAGTGACCTTTGCCTATAATCCCAGGCTTGGGGGATGGAGGCAGGAGAAGTTCAAGGTCATTTTACCTACATAGTGAGAGTTCAAGACCAGTGTGGGATACATGAGACTATGTCAATAATAATAATAATAATAGCAAAAACAATAACAACAATAATTATAAACCATGCATGGGGTGCAAGCCTTTAATCTCAGCACTTAGGAGGCAGAGACAGGCAAATCTCTCTGAGTTTGAGGCCAGCTTGGTCTACAAAGTGAATTCCAGAATAGCAAGGGCAGTTATACAAAGAAACCCTGTCTTGCAAAAAACAAAATAATAAAATAATAATAATAATAATAATAATAATAATAATAATCGGCATAGAAACTTCTTTAGCAAAATTATAGAAGAAATTTTCCAAAATTTAGGGTAAGATACAGACATTCAAGTATAGGAAACATTTTGAACCCTGAATAGATATGACCAAAAAGAACTCTCTTGTGTCATAGTTAAAATGCTAAGACTACAAAGGAACAGTATGAAAAACTTCCAGATAATGCCAACTTACAAAGGCAAGCTCATCAGAATGCTATCAGACCCCTCAGTGGGAATTCTAAAAATCAGAAAAGAGTGGGTGTACATAGCTCAAGTCCTGAGTGTGAGTGTCTGCTAATACAAATTATGCTATCCAGCCAAGTTATCTTTTTTAATAAATGCAGGCATAAAGACTTTCTAATGAAGGCACAAACTAAAAGAATTCATGAGCAGTGGGCTACTAAGAAGAATGAATATTCACAGCTGTTGGGAGGAATGTGCTGTAGATGCCTGTTACAGCCTTTTGGTCTGTGGTACAGTTCAATTATGTGGTTTCTTTATTGACTTTCCTGCCCAAGAGATCTATCTCCTGATGACATTAGTGCATTGAAGCCACCTATGATTGCTGTATCTTGGATTATTTGTCCCCTTAGGTCCAATAATATTCACTTTATGAAACTTTATGAACATTTGTTCAAGGAACAATATTTGTTTTAATCTTTGTGAAGGATTTCTCCATTTATTAGTATGTAGTAATGTTCTTTCTCTCTTCTGGCTGAGTTTTCCCTGGATTCTATTTTTGCAGACTTGAGTACAGCTGCTTCTGCTTATTCTGGGCTCGTGATTGCATTGCATATAATTTTCCATCCTTTCACATTCAGTCTTTGTGATCTTTGCCAGTGAGAATGAAATCCACCCCACATTCCCTCCCCTCTGCTTCCTCTCCTATCCCCCCACCACTTTTCCTCTCAACTTTATGTGCTTTTTTAATACCCACTGAATCTATTCAATGCTATCTATGTGTACATGGGTGTAGGACAATCACTATAGCATTAATAGTCCCTGAGAGCCTGCATCACTGAAGAAAATTGACTCTCCTTCCCCCAACAGCAATCACCTGCCAGTAGTTCCTGAGATAGGATGAAACTTCATGAGCCTCTCCCCATCTATGCTGGGATTTCATGCAGATCTTGTGTGATTGACTTTTCCTCGGGAGATGCAATACATATGTCTACTTACTTGAGAAAGGGAGCCCATAACAGACCAAAGCCCAACTTGATGAACCCATGGATTTTATTGGGATTACTTACAGGTGTATGGGGGAGTGGTTACTTACAGGAACAGAAATGACTCAAAGACAGCTTCATCACCAAAGCCCATTCCAGCATGAATAGCAGCTCACAAAAGCTGGAAGCATAGGGCACACTGTACAGCCTGCAAGCAGCTCAACAGGCTGGAGAATGTCCTTTCCAGGTAGCACAGTTAGTCTGAACCTCTTCCAGGTAGATTGGCTAGTTTTTCTTTCTTCTAGGCAGTTCAGCTGGTCTCTGCTACTTTTGGGTTACTCTGCTGGTCTAGACTTCTAGGCTGTCTGGCTTGTCTAAGGCTTCTTTGCAATTTGGTTTTTCTGAATCTCTCAGCAGTGTTTTCTTTTTATATACCCTTGGGGAGGGAGGGACCTAGTAAATCTGGTCAGTTTCAGGGACTTCCTGATGCTAATTTGAGTTGTTCATTTCCTGTCTTAACGAGCTTGATTGCAGGATGGAATGTTTCGATATGGAAAAAAGCTGCTACCAACAGCCCCTTCCCCAACCATGCTATATTTTTGGCTGGCCTGATCTTGTGCAGGTCTTGCCCATACAGTCCCAGGCACTGTGAGTTCATGCATGCAACTGCACTTTCATGGCCAGCAAATACTGTCCCCTGACAGACGTCTACTCCCTCTAGATCTTACAATGTTTTCTGACTCTTCTTCCTACATGATCCCTGAGACTTGGAGTGTGATATAGATGTCCCAGTCTCTTGTTCTCTGAACATCAATAATGAGTCTCTTCATTAATTGCCATTATATGTGTGTGTGTGTGTGTGTGTGTGTGTGTGTGTGTGTGTGTGTGTGTGTGTGTGATGGCACCTGCCCCCACCCTTTGGGCAGGTGCCTTCTCTTGGAGACAGCCTGGTAGTTTGTACCCTAAATAAAGCTTTGCCTTTTGGCCTTAGTTCTGTTCTCGTGGTCTCAATCTCTTGAGCAGTCTCACACTATGGATGTAAACACCCACAAATAAAATAAAATAAAGCATGATGAACAGAAGACAGAGATAAAAGACCCTGGGTAGTTGTGTTCACATTAGCTTCCAGAGTTAACAGAACTGAGCCACAAGGCAGAAGTAGTTGCCTAGTAGTGACTGACAAAGACTTAACTGAGAAAGGGCATGCAGGATGCCTCTGTAGTGAAGGAAGTTGTGTGTGAGTTTCACCATATACAAATCTGTCAATACTCAGTTCCAAGGCAATATTAATCTTCAATGTCAATATTATGGCTGTTTCAAATGTCAGATTGTCACAAATTAGAATCATCTGAGTAGAGAGAGTCACCTCAAGAACTGTCCTGATAGCCTTGATTGACATAGGAAGGCCCGCTCCTATTTTGGGTGCCACATTCTGGCAGCAGCCCCGATAAGAAGGTGGGGCAGAAGAAGATCATCTTGCCATTCACTTGGTTGATCTTCCCTCTTGCTACAAGTTGGTTTGTTCTGTTGCTGCTACTGCTGGTTCCTTCATTGACAGCAAAACCAGTGTGTCCAAGCTGTCATCATGGTGTAGGAACCAACAGCCCTCCAGGGACCTTTTGAGCTTCCAGAACCAAACTGGGACTACTAAGGCACCTTGCTTTGTAGACTAACTACCAGTTTACACACACACACACACACACACACAGTGAGAGACAGCTATTGTGGGACTACTTTGACTGTTGAAGCATCCAGCCTCAAGGACTGAGAAATTACTGGGTTCTTAGCTTTCAGATGTGATTTTGAGGTTGACTTATTAAATTCTGATACATAACTATATTTTATGCATATATATATATATATATATATATATATATATATATATATATATATTCAGTCCTTGGTTCTGTTCTTCTATAAAACCTTGACTAAAGTAGTCAGCCTAGAAGACATACCTCCAAGTGTGTTTTTGTAGGTCTTTCCAAGGAGATTTAACTGAGAAGGGAAGACCCATCCTGAGTGTAGGTGGTACCATCCCAAGGGCTCTGGATACATACTGAATCAAGGGTTGAGCTTCCTTGCCCATGCCATGGTCCAAGCTATTCTTGCCATCATGACTCCCTTCCATAATAGGCTACATTCCTCTGAACTGAGCCAGAAGAGACCCTTCCCTCCTTAAGTTTTGTTTTGTCAGATATTTGGTCACAGAGACAAGAAAAGAAGACTAATACAACTTTAAAGAGTGACTTTGGACACATAGGCCCACCTGGCGCCATGCAGCCTGGGTGGGCGGAAGCCAGCCACAAGCCAGGCAGGCACTACTATGATGAACAGGTTTGTGGTGGAGAAATGAAGAGAAGGAGAAGTGGAGTGCTTCGTGCACTGTGAAGAGATGCAGAACTGAAGATGCATAGGCAGTGAGGAACAGTTTGATAGGGGTGGCCTATGCTGCCACCTGGGACCGTGTAATGTCCAGGCCTGTGCTGCCACCAAAGACCTTGTCTGGGTCCATGGCACTACTGCAGCCAAGGTCTACGTTGATGTTCATGGACCATGTTACCACTGAGAGCCATACAGATGCCGATGAACTCGGCCACTGTCTGAGGCCGTGCTGGTGTCTGAGGGACATGCTGCTGCTGGGGCCATACTGAACTGCATGACTTGTGCAGCCAACCAGAGCCATGGTAATGTCCAGGCCAGAGTTGTGGCCCAGGGCCATGTCTGAGTCTGCGGTCCTACTGTATCCAGGGTCTGTATTGATATCCATGGCCTATGTTACCATGGGGACCATGGAAGAGCTGGCTCTGGGAGGTTTGGGCACCAGGAAGCTGGTTCTGCCTCCATGGGAAAACTGCCCCTCTGGCCCCTACAGGGATAACTGGCCCTTCATGCAGAGAAACTGGCCTCATCCTTCACCATGAGTGGTGGAGAGCTGGCCCTATGGTGTGGGTCTGGAAGAGCTGGCCCTGCTCCTCACAGGAGATCTAGCCCTGACCCTTGCCTGAGGGGAGTGGTCCCAGTGGAAGCCGGAACTGACCAACTCAGCTACTACCCAGGCCAACATCCAAGGCTTTGAGTTGGCTCACCCCAACATCTAACCCAGTTATGACCTGCTGAGTGCATGAAGGGACCATTCCTAAAGAGCCATAGCCACAGGATCTCCATGACTCAGGGCAACAGCAGGATATCCCAGACAAGTTTTGGTGAGGGTCCAGTATTGATGGTGTAGCAGAAGCCAGAGGCCTTGAACCAGACCAACAACTCATTGCAATGAACATTTTCAAGTAAAGCTGTTTGGGCAAAAGGGTCTACTGCATGACATACTGAAGCTCCCAGGGCCACTACCACAATGAATGTCATGGAGAGACAGGAAAGATGGAGGAATAAAGTGTTTTGTTATTGCTTTTGTTTTTTTTTTTATTTGTTTTTCTTTTGGAGTATGGGGAGGCTACAAGGGTGGAGGGTGGACATAGAAAGACTGGGAAATGAGTGGGATTGGGGTGAATGATGTGAAATTCCCAAAGAATCAATTTTAAAAATGTTAATAAAAAAAAGAGTCACTTAGAAAACATGAAAAAACTCTTTAAAAAATGATGAGTAAAAGATGACAGACAGCTTTGGAAGCAGTGGGCAAAAGATTAAAAAAAAGGGGCATCTCACAGAAATCAAAAACATGAAGTGGGAACTTACAAATCACCATAGTGAGACACATTTTAAAAACATTTTTCATTTATTTGCTTGATTTTACATATAGGAGTTTATTTTCTTCACATGTGTGTAGGCACAGCATGTGTGTCTGGTGCCCAGGGAGCTCAGTTATGGGCATTTGGTTCCCTGGAACTGGAGTTCCAGTTTTGAGCCACTGTGTGGGTGCTGGGGACCGAACCTAGGTCCTCTGCAGGAGCAACAAGTGCTCTCAACCTTTGGGCCAGCCCCAAAACAATGAGATATTTGATACCCACTAACGTGGCAAAGATTCAGAATTTGGCTATGCCACCTGGGCAAGGACCAATGGTAGATGTGTGGCCTAACGTGGTCACCACTACTAATGTGGTCACCACTAATAATATGGTCACCACTACTAATGTGGTCACCACTACTAATGTGGTGACTTTTGGGAAAGACTCTGGCATTTTCTTGCAAAATTTCAGACAAAGTTCAGCTCAGGTATCCAAGAGCAGCATTCAAACAGCAAACAGGACCTGTGTGCTGGAATGTCACCCAATGCTGTCCCCAACAGTCACAGTCTGGAAACAACCCAAGTGTATCACGGCCACACTTCAGACAGCACACACGGTAAAGTGAAGTGAGTGGGCCAGAAGGATAGGAATCTCGGTAGCAAAAAGCAAGAACTGAAAGACAACACAGAGTAGCACCGTCTGCCACTCGAGCCAAGCTGAGCCATATGCTGTCAACAGGTCAGTTATGCTAAGCAGTAAGTAGCTCCCTGAGGGGAAGGGGACTGGGGCTGGCAGCCTGGGTCACTTCGCACTTTTCTCCTCTTGTGTTGAGTTCCTATCAGTTCATAAGATGAATGAGTGGGTAGATGGCAGTCCTGGGAATACAACGAAAGGGCACTGAAAAATCTGATGGGAAACGGTCTTGATTCTCAGACTTCTCTGGTGTAGACTACCCTGTGGGAAGCCTGGTGCTGAAGAGAAGGAGGAAGCTTCCCAGCTGAGCACAATTCCCCCTGGGCCTGAAGGAACCTCCACAGAACTCCACAAATTGTCCTGAGAACAATTACAGTCCCCAGAACTGGGGAGAGCAAGGCCACTAAGGAGTGTGTAAAGATCAGGGAGGCCCAAATCAACAGGGCCTGTGAGATGAGGAGCTTGTCCCCCAGACCTGCAGTTAGAGACACTGCAGGGACCCTGCCTGGCTTGCTGAGACCTTGAGACAAAGGGCCCAGGGAAAGCAAGACCTTCCAGGGCCTCCCCGTCAACTGCTTCCACAAGCCTAGCCAGTCCGTGACACCAGACCTGAGAACTGGAAAGCCCCCAGCCCAGAGGAGGGGGGCATCCACCCTGTCCCAGGCTGCTCTGGCTTAGATGGCACTCAGGTACCCCATCACCAGCATGTGTGGGATCAGGCTGACAGACTTCCACCCTCAGCTTGCAAGCAGTCCCCCTTCTTATTTGGCTGGCCCACTCTCTTTCTGAAGTGCTGAAAGGAGACTGGAGACAGCCCTTGGGCTCCTCCCCAGCTCAGCTCTTCCCACCTGCCAGGATTCCCACAGACCTTGAGCTGTGGAGGCCCCCTTCAGCAGACTCCAGGCTCCAGTGCCAACTACCAGCTTCGGCACTCATCAGGGGCCACTGCATGGTGCCAGTGAACTCACTCATCAGAAGAGCCAACTGCCCAACCCAGCAGGTAAGAACCAGTTGTGGCAAGCGCTGCTTGTTGAGTGTGTAAAGAACTGTGTTCCTCCACCAACCTCCTCTGCCTGTCCAGGAACAGACAGCCTGGTGCTAAATGTGATCGAGGGACCTGGGGCTGCACCCCTTCCAAGATGGGCCAAGGAAACCAGGAAGTACTACTGCATGGGGACCCCTGCCTGGTTTCTGCTCCAGGTCACCCCATGTGCCCTCAGACACCTAGCTACAGAGGTGTCCCCACGGGAAATTCCCAAACTGTTTTTTTCACTTGAAGATTGGTGACGACACCTTCCATTCATTCTCCACCACTAAGTTTGCTCCTTGGGAAAAAAATGAGTTCTGGCTGAGCAGAGTCTGGGCCATGGTAGAACATCAAACGTGAAGTCAGACGGACTCACACGCTGTAGCCCCAGGACTCAGGAGGCTGTCGCAGGAAGATACTGCGTTTGCTGTCAGCCTGGCTACAGAAACTGTCTCAGGGAGAGGAGAAGAAAGGAAAGGAGACGCCATTACAAAGCAGGGTGAGCCTTCTCCTCTGCAACCCTTTGCTCTGTTTCCCTCTCCATTTGATGGTCCTGTGACCAGTGGAGGTGTAGCCTTTCAGTCTGACCTTCCTGCGGCATGAGGGATCCTCTAGCCACAGAAAAAATGTATGAACCTGCCAAGGTACTTGAGTCTTCAGACAAGATAGCATACAAAATCCAGGCCTATAGCCTCTGAGCAACATGTAAGGCAAAGCAAGCTTTCTTGGAACTGTATGAGTGCATGTAACATGGTATAAGCATGTGTATACAAGTGTGCATGTGTATGCATGCACACACCTGAAAGGAGTGTGTGTGTGTGCATGTGCACCTGGAAAGCATGTACTTGTGTATTGAGTCAAGGAGGGTAGCACATACTCACAAATATGTAAGAGGGGTGTTTCTGTTCATGCTGATGTTCACAGATCCTAAGTCATTGCTCAGCTGTTAGCTCTTGGTAAATGTGAAAGTGATCTTCACAGTGGACGTGACAGGTGAGTACCGCAGCAGATCCTGAAAGTACACAGTGAGAGCCCTCTCTGCTTGTCTGACCTCTCCCTGAAAACAAGGCTGGTCAGCCCTGGGAGGCCCCACAGAGAAGTCCCTTGGTCCTGAGACAGTGTGGTGGCCCTTGCCTTTGAGACCCTAGCAGGGGCCACAAAGCCTCCAACAACTTGGACCAATGGAACAGTGGCCTGGGCCCATCACACAGGGAGCTTGAATCCCTGCTGTTCCATGGTGCTCAGAAGTGGCCTCCCAGCCAGAAAGGGCCATGAGCAACTGCAACAACACTTTGGTGACAGAGTTCATTCTTCTGGGTTTCCCAGAGCTGTGCCACCTTCGAGGGCTGCTCTTTGGGTTATTCCTAACCATCTATGTGGTGACCGTCCTAGAGAACTTGGTCATTGTGGGCACCATCAGCACTAGCCGGCAGCTACACATACCCATGTACTTCTTCCTGGCCAATCTGTCTGTGCTGGAAACCCTCTACACCACAGTCACAGTGCCCAAGCTGCTTGCTGGTCTCCTGGCAGGGGAAAAAGCCATCTCCTTCTCAGGGTGCCTCACCCAGCTGTTCCTCTTTCTTTCACTGGGCTCCTCTGAATGCTTCTTATTATCTACCATGGCCTGTGACCGGTACCTGGCCATCTGCCGCCCACTGCACTACCCAGCCATTATGGATTCAAGACTGTGCCTACATCTGGCTCTCAGTGCCTGGCTTGGGGGCTTCTTGGCCTCCTTTGTGTCCACAGCTCTCATCTCCCGCCTCAGGTTCTGTGGCCCCAATGCCCTCAACCACTTCTTCTGTGATGTCTCACCCCTGCTGCAACTGTCCTGCTCAGACACCACTGCCATTGAAATGCTGGACTTTGTGGCAGCTCTGGCAGTCCTTGCAACCTCTCTGATGGTGACCTCAGTCTCCTATGCTCGCATCCTTGCCACGGTCCTGAGGATTCCAGGAGGAGCAGGCCGCAGGAAGGCTTTCTCCACATGTGCCTCCCACTTGGTGGTAGTCTTAATCTTCTATACCACCACCACCTTCATGTATGCCCGGCCTCATGCCATAAGCTCCTTCGACCTCAACAAGCTGGTATCTGTGATCTACTCGGTAGTGACTCCCCTGTTGAACCCTATAATCTACTGCCTGAGGAATCGTGACATCAGGGAGGCGTTCACCAAGCTCCTCCAGACCCCCAGGTTCTCCTGAACACCAGTTGCTGGGTCCTGCTGGAACCCTGGGTCCCTCTTCTCTGCTCTCAGACATGCCCACCAGCCAGTCAAGGCTGTGTTCTTCCTCGTCACTGTGGACAAGTCCCTCCTTTCCCCACAATTAAGAGTATCCAAGGGCACACTACGGCCATTAGCCAGCAACAAACAAGAAGCAAAGGTGACCACGGCCTAGAGACTCTGGGCCCTTCTAGAAAACTCAGCTGTTCTTTTTAGCAGCCCAGGCAAGTCCTTTGTTCTTAAAATCTCAGTACAGAACCTAAAGGAAGCTCCCTGTCTACTGTCAGGATCTGGCCTTTATAACCTTTTCCTGACCAGCCTTGAATGCCCCACTTCTGAGACCCTGAGATTTGGCCTTCTTCGAATAAGGTCCCAGCTCCTGGCCAGGTGGGAGGGTTCCAGCAAGTCCAGGCAGTGTTACTGAGTATGCAGATTCTCCATTTCTCAGAAACAAGGATGGCTTCTTACGGCTTCTTGCAGAAAGCTTGGTAGGTCTGATGAGTAAATGGCATGCATGTGTCTGCCTTTTCTTTCTTTTGTGGGGCATGAGGGTAGAAACAGTAATGCAAGCATTTCCCTTCCCAGCAGTTATCACTGTTAGCCTGGCCAAGTTCTTTCTTGGTTTTGTGGTTGTCCTTTTCCTTCAGGACAGTCACCTAGAATGATGAGCTTCACATGTATCTTTGGAAGAATTTAACATTGCCTTTGTGGCCTGTGTCTCAATGTTTTACCTTGCACTTCTGAAGTTACATCAGGATGCACCCATATTTAGGATTGTTTTGTTCATAAATGTAGCCCTTCACAATGAGGAAGCACCCCTCTGTCTCTGGCACGTCTGTCTGCCTCGACACCTAAAGCTTGAACTCTGCTATGATTTAATACAGCCGCGTCACCTTCCTTCCGGTAACTGTGTGATACATACTTTCTGTGCCGGTTTTGAATCTACTCTCTCCACTCCTGACCACCATCTGCAGCCGGCTCTGTGACCCAGGCAGGGCCTGCACAGACCATGCTTCTGCCACACCAACTGCTCTCTGTTGAGAACTCGGCTTTGTAGATAATCTCTGAGCTTTGTTTGGTTTGCAACAGTCTTAAGTGTGTATTTCTCTTTGTATTTGCTGCCTTTGGTGTGTGTAATGCTTCCAGAACTCAAGGCTTGCATTGTCATCGGTTTTTGAAACACATCAGGCATAACTTTCTGAAACACTGCATCTGCCTTGTTCTCCCCTTTGCTTGCTCCAAAACTACATGTGTGTCAGATCTTCCTACAGCCCCTCTGTCTCCTCGTGGTCTGAGCTATATACTCCCTTTTCTGGACACTTTCTTCCAATCTTCCAGGTTCCCAAGTCTCTCTCCAACTATGTCTAATATTCAGGATATTTGGCTTTATTTTGTTCATTCTAGAATTCTCATTTTGTTCTTTTTCTAAGTGAAAAAAAAAACCTCATTTTTTTCACAATCATCAATCATCACAGAACATACCTGTGACCAAATGTGTAGGGTAGTGTCCTCATTTACCAATCAAGCAATTCTGCAGCTAATACAAGGTAGGGTCTTCTAATTCAGTTCAACCCTGACACTGACTGCTTGGACGTAGCTCAGTTCCCACAGGTCTTAGCTGAATGCTCAGATGGTCCTGCCCAATTCAGAATCCAGCTTCAAGCCCAAGGAGTTTACCTGCATTTCTCATAAAACAGCTATAAATGGGGCCTTGCATAATCCCTTCCTTGAGATCTTCTAATTTGCTAGAGAGCTCACTAAACTCTGGGGAGCATTTGCTTACATGTGCCAGCTTATTAAAAGAACCACACCAGGACTGATAAGGCTGCTGGTTAGGCTCTTTCCTTGCAAACATAAACACATACATTTAGTCCCCAAAACCCACATTTAAAAGAAAAGGCCAAGCATGGTACTACATGCTTGCAGTCTTAGTGCTGGAGAAGTAGAGATAGGCATGTGCCTGGAGCTCACTAGTCAGCCAGCTCAGCCTATTTGGCAAGCTCCAGGACAGGGAGAGACTCTGTCTCAAAAACACAAAATGATTACTCCTGAAAAATATCACCTGAGGCTTTTTGTCTGGCCTCCACATGCCCCCACATACACACATGCACTTGCATGTGTGCCTGCACACTTGTGAACACACACACACAGACAGCATAGAAGAAGAATCACAAGGGATACAGATGAAGAGATACAGTGGGCAAGGAGTCTGTGAGTGGTACCCTGGGTCTCCTGAACTGATTATCTATCCCTTACCCAGACTGGACTGCATTCTTTCTAGAACCATATGCAAATGCCTAATATCTTTAAGATTTATTTACTTTTATTTTGTGTGTATGAGTGTTTTACCTGCATGTATGTATATACACCATGTGAGTGCCTGGTGCCCATAGAGGCCAGGAGAGGGTAATAGATCCCTTGGAACTGGAGTTATAGATGGTTGTTAGCTGCCACATGGGTGCTGGGAACTGAAGCAAGGTCCTCTGCAAGAGCAGAAAATGCTCCTAACTGCTGAGCCATGTCTCCAGCCAAAGCTTTAGTATCTTGCATAAGCCCCTCTTCTTTGGTCTTCTAGAAGTTATCTTGAGTGTTCCAAGTCTATCCTTGTCACCTTTGGAATCTCTTGGATTCTTTATTAACTTGCTAGTACAATTTTAAAATGCCATAAACAAGGTGGTTTAAACAACAGAAATTAATTTTCATTTTAACTTAATAACTGGGGTCTTCCAAGGACCCTTTTCTTCCCTTAAGGATGCCATGCATAGTGGTCCCTTTGTCTCTATATAATCTGTGGCCTAATATCCTTGGATTGTGACCCTGTTACTTCCTTAAAGATCCTATTATGAAATACAGCTACATTCTGAGGTGCTTGGGATTAGGATCCAACATACATATGGGGCAACTCAACTTCTAACAAGTGCCTCTTAAAGACATTCTGGGAAGGGTTGCTAAGTTCTGAACCGATCTGACTCTTGAGGCAGCATTAAAATTCATAGGCCAAACTGGACGCGGTGGCACACACCTTTAATCCCAGAACTTGGGGGGCAGAAACAAGTGGGTCTCTATTAGTCTTGTCTAAATAGTGAGTTCCAGGCAAGAAATGGAATCTTCCAGAAACATGTGAGTCAAAAATGAATGATGTTCTTAGCAATGTCCAGAGAAGATGGACTAGCAGCACTCCCATGACTGGCACCTCTAGGAATAGGACAGGACAGCTGAACAACAGCCACCCTTGGTAGGGGCTAATAGGCAGGCACTGGAGTTTCAATACGGAGTTGTCTAAGAACAATAATTTAAGCACGAAAGCATGGAGAAAGACCATCTCCACACCGGGAATACTCCCAGAGGCAGAAGTAGGAGAATGGAGACAGAAAGTCCAAAAACAATTAACACTGTCAGTGCTAAGCAGAACTGCAGTCTGACTCAGATCAGGGACTGTAGACTCTAAGCGGCACATACAACATGATGCAGTGTGAGAAACCATCTGGGGTGGGGCTGAGTCTGCCACCTTAGGAGTCGAAGGTTCTTGGCATTATCCCATCTCCAAGAACTCCAAGAACGGTTGCTCTGGGCCACGGGATGCCAACCTGGAGAGCTGGTCTAGCTACAGAGGAGAGGCTGAATGACAAACATGGTAGGGAGTTGCTTTAGGTTAAAGAGAGAAGTGGCAGTTACTTATGGGTTGGAGCTTTCAGTCAGGGAAGCTGCTGCAAGAGCTCCCAGAGGAGGCAGGAGCACTTGCATATCGTTATATAGGGAGCTGAGTTGTGCGAAATCACAGCTCTTGGAGGGCAGGACCTGTTCAAAAGGCTGCATCCCCATAGGACTTCCCCAACCCACAACCAGGCATTTGAAGATGAAAAAAACTAGGACCAGCTGTCAGTCTGGGATACAAGGTAGTTGAGAAAAGCTCTAGTTACTGAGCAAACACCAAGATAATAAAATGAAAACATACAGGACAGAGCCTCCATTCTCGCCGGGTGATATGAGCCCAAATGGCCACAGAAGAGCAGGTCAGCATAGGTCAACATCTTTCACTGCTCTCCATATGACTGGCCCCTGAATAAGACTAGAATCTTATCCTCTTTTTTAAAATCAGTACATTTCCCCACATTCCTTATGATGATTTATTTGTGGTATGTATGTCTGTCTGTGTGCATGCGTGCATGTGTGTGCGCATGTGCACATATGTGTACACAAGTTCAAGGAGGCCAGGAAAGGGTGTCAGATCTCTCAGAACTAGAGTTACAGGAGATTGTGAACCCAGTGTGGGTGCTGATGTTTAAACTCCGGTCCTCGTGATTGAGTAGTGAGTGTTCTTAACCACTGAGCAATCTCTCCAGT